CCTCATGTGTAAGCTTGTCATAGTTTAATAAATGAGTCAAATCAGCTCGACCATTTAATAAATAAATAAAAATATGAGCACAATCTCGACTTGTGTAAACTTCAATCTATTCGATTTGTTTAGTAAGAAAGTTGAATAATCATTCTAGCTTGACTCATTTAAATATATGAATGATATGAAATCAAATTTTCACTAGTTAAACAAACACAATCCAGTTTGGCTCCTCCCAAATTTTTTTCCTAGATCCGCCCCTAATGGCGAGGTCGATGAACAACATCCGCAAAATAAGCGAACACGGAGGAATATAAAGTCTGCCACTTTTGCCCAGGTGTGCGAACGACGTTGAGCTTTTTGCTTCACATTTTTTAATTCAGAGGGTTTCGTTTCATCTGTTCAAGAAAATCTTCCTGTTTTTTCTAGATTTAGTTTAGCATTATTTTTATTGATTGAATCCCATTTCTTATGACGATTTTTTCATATTTGTTGTTGACGGACGTTTCCGGTCAACGGTTAAAAAGATGAATAATAAAAGGATAATGAGAAAAAGACAAAGAAATATGGTTTAATTGCGATTTTATTACGAGATCACGAGGTCGGCCTCTCGTACGAGGTCGGCACTTGCGATGTACTTACGGATTCTTACACGAGTTTCTTCCAAATCTAGAGAGAGAAAATGTAGAGAGAGCTTTTACAGTTGGGATTCAACAACCTAAAAATAAATGAGGGGGTTGCTATTTATAGTGGTCTTTAATGCGGTACTGTTCAGGTACTGTTCACTGGTCTTGTACAATACTTGTACATTATACATAATTCTCAATTTAGTTTAATATAGTTTGGAAAGTAATAACAAAATTTTAATTTTTAACTCATTTTACACAATAACATACAGTACTTGAATAAATATTACTCGCTATGTATATTTATATTTTGAAATAATCAGAACAATTCAAGACAGTAAAAAATTCAATAGATAAAGAATGTCTGACATAAACGAGTCTATACATGTATATATATACGTTATGAAAATATCACAATAAATAGTATATTTCAAGTATATATCACGTTATAATACTTTTACATTATACACGATTCCCTATGTATCTTCAAATGAATGTCCTACAATAATATTAGACGTCAAGTAACTGTAGTTCGACTGTGTCATATGACTGCCTTCGTTTCAATCATTTCTTCAGCTGTTGTACATGCAAAATCTATAAAGTTCGTAATTGATAATTATTTTATACAATTATCTATTACCTATACATCAATGGAGCTACATTGATTTCAGGTGGTGTATGTTCATAATCTGGACAAACTCATATGAATTTTCGTCGTTCACCGGTGCCTTGATGATTAAACACAACGAGAATTTTGTGTAATCAACTTCTCTTGATTTTAATTGAACGTAGAAATACAGTTGCCATCATCATTTACGCACATTGGTGGAAAAACATCTTTAACATGGTATTTTATCTCGAGCACCGAATCTTGCAATTTGACTCCCAGTTTTGCAAGTAATATCTGGCGCAACTCACGATATCGTCTATCTTTTGGAACCAAAACACCGGATAGTTGAAAATTCATATACATTTTCGACCCATACCCCACTATGATGAATGAAAATCATCATTTTTACGCTGAGATGATGAGACAAAAAAAAATCACAAATTAAGAAAAAAATACATGAATACAAATTANCGACGTTAATCCTTATATTCATGTTTATTTCCAGTATATAAAACAAATTGAAAACGTAAACATTTACCTTCAACCTAGAACGCAACTCGACAATGAAACGCAACTTGAGTTGTATGACGCATTATCTATGACCCATAGGTCTCGAGTCATTGAGGAGGTCCTCCTTTAAAAAAAACAATAAAATAAAAAAATAAAATACAAAAAACCTAGAATGCAACTCGATTTTGATCTCAACGATATGATATATTTTGTACTTCTTCAATGATTTAATTCACACTTTTTTAATTTAAATTTGAAAATGTTGTTTTTTAGGAATAAATGTTGAACGTGATTTTCTATCTAGCTTATCATTAATTAGAATTATTATTTTTTATATATGGGAATAATCTCGGAAGGGCTCCTCCAAATGTATGTTGAAAGTTTTTCTCTCTCCTCCGTTTCTACACTCTAGTATTTATATAAACTAGTGTTGATACCCGTGCGATGCACGGGACGCAATACAAAAAATATTTATTATTTAAATATTATAAAATTATTTAAGACAATATGAAATTATATTCTCCACAATATTCTATTCAGTAATAATATGACATTTATTTATTTATTATTATTGTTAATTTCTATTTTTGTATTTTTTTTGTAGTTTGTGACTATTTAATATATAAATCTTATTATTTATAAGTTTATAAAATATTTTAAATGTATAAGATCATATGATATTTGCATACAAATTATTTGTATATACTTATAAAATCGTTGTTTATTATAGTCTTATGATTTTTTAACAATTCATAATTTGCACATTGCTTGATAATTGACCAACAATTAACCCATAATATTTATCTTCGTCTAGAATTATTAAGTTCATTAAATGTTAAAAACTTTGATAAACAAACTTTAATTTTTATTGATTTTAATCCTTATGCAACACACAAATTTTTTATGGTTAAATATTTTATTTTTATGTTTCTATTTTTATTTATATTTATTTCTTTAATTAATTTTTTCAACCTATATAATGAATTACATAGTATCTATTCGAATATTTTGATATATTATATATTTTCATAATTACCAAGTGCTATAATCTAAATTATTATACATTGCTTTTTTATTAACTTATTTTTCATTTATAAAATAGTATATAAGAAAAGAATAAATATTTTTAAAAATTGGATAGTTTTTAATGTACATAGGTACTTCTAAGGTGGAATTTATAATTCTGAATTGCACCCGACCATCAAATTTTATTTTTATTAGTATTATTTAAATTTTCAATACTGTTATTACTGCATATGATATATTCAATGGGGGATGTACCTTTTTATAGTTAAATTGGCTACATATTTGAAACTTCTATTAATATTTTAAATTATTTATTAAGTTATTATGATTTAAACATAGTTTTATATTTTTCTAATTATTTTATTAATATTTAAGTACTTTTGGATAGTGAATATAATTAATTAAATTAATACCTACAGCCATAGATGATAATATATTTAATCAAATCAATTTCTATAGTAATTTTTTGAATTGTGCCAATAAATTACTATTAAATTAATATAAGATCTTACTGAAAATATATCTAATAAATTTACAGTCAAAATTTCAATTTAAGCCAATTTGTAGTTAATGAGTAATAGTCATTGAGTGTATAAAAATTAATTATGTTTTTTATGCATATGATTTGTTAATAAATAAATATTAATTAAATGTATATATAGATATATATATATATATATATATAGATAATATATTTAATAGTCATTGAGTGTATAAATTTTTCTGCCCAAAATCATGTCAATTATGACAATAAGGATTTGTCATTATATAGATATATATATAGATATAGATTTATAGTATAATTATAGGTTCGTATATTTATTGTATCATTGGGTGTTATTATCTTAATTGGTGGTATATATATTTTTATGCATTATTAAATATATATTTTTATGCATTATTAACTATCTGAATGATTCTCATACTTAAAATTGATTTTTTATTTTTAGAAAAAATAAAACTGAAATTTATTATTATTTTTATATAGATTTTTTTCTTAAAATTCTCATTCAATAACGTTTAGGAACTTCAAAGATAGCTGAATAGTAAGTCGCATAAATATTATTGTAGATTCCATATTAATTTGAATTATTAATTGAATACTAATTTAGTTAAGTTAATGCAAAGTGCAAATGGAAACACGGATCTAAAGTATTATTGACAAATGCAAAAATAATTAAACTTACAATTACACAACCAAATGTAGAAATATTGCCAATTATAGTCATTGCATATCATCTTTATTTAGCAATAAATTCCATCAACTCCCTCTTTATATATATATAGATTTTTATGATCAGTTATTGCAAATAAGTTTTTCAGTATATTTATCATCAAAAATTTTATGAGCCATGACTCCATTATTGAGTCATTCCACGTGTGAGGGTTTTGAGCATGTTTGTTTATGAAAATTTTGTTTGGATTTTTTGGTTTTGTTTGATTAATTTTGAAAAATGTGGTATAGTCAGGTGTTAGTGAGTATATTAAAATAATATTAAAAATAAAATAATTAAAATTGATTTGATGTAAAAGTAGGAGAGATGATTTGAAGTGATAATTAGTTAAAATAATATGAGTTGATGAATAGTGAATTAAGGTTGATGTGGTGTGTATGAATGATTGATTGATATTATTTTATTATATGATAATATTGATGATAATGAGGTTGAGTTAAAGTTGAGTTAAAAAAATGATTGAGTTAAAATGTTTGAATTTTTTTTAAAATTCTTGTAAACAGTGTTTTGAGACCCGGACCGGCCCGGCGGGTCGACCCTGGACCCGGTCGACCCGGAGCCGGAACCGGTCCGGGTGGAGTATTTGGACCGGGCAGCCAAGGACCCGGTCAAAACCCGGCCGAGACTCGGCCGACCCGGGGCATTGACCCGGCCGGGCCAACCCGGTCCATATATATTTTTTATATTTTTTTTTATTTTAAAAATAAAAATATGTATATATATTTATATGGTAAATATTTATCATGAGATACATATTATTAACACTTTAATATACAAATTTTATACACAAAACATTTAATTTTATTACTTTTATGTATATTTATATAACAAAAATACTCTATATATAATTTTAAAAATTTTAAAATTAATTATCCGATTTAGCATTTGACCCGGTGACCCGACGATTGAACCAGTGACCCGGTGACCCGAGGACCTACCCGGGTCGATCAAGGGGCCGGGTTTAAAAACTATGCTTGTAAACAAATATGCTAACTCGAATTACAATCGTATTAGCAGGGTTTAAAACGACAGTGCCTACTCAAGTGAGTTCGCAATTCATTTTATCTGCACCTCGTTTCTAGGGTTTCCAATTATCTCTCTGCCATCTTCTTCGCAAGTCAAAATCCAAAATGAGGTAAATCGTTTTTTCATTAAGTCCAAAAGTCTCGATTCACTTGTTCTTCAGTTCGAAACTTACAATTGCAATTTGCATCTCGCTGTTTACAGTTTGTTTATTCTTCTCCTTTTTCTAGTTTGGGTGATTGGATCGAAAATGTGAGAAATTTATTTACTTAGATTTTCAGTTTCAATCGATACACGATTGTATGAGAATAGAAATTGATGGGTTGGAGGTACAATTTTTCGTGATCTGTTATGTTTTAGTTATTTGCTAGTTCTTACTCATATATGTATGAACTATTAAGAGAAAAACACGTAGAAGGTTATTTGAAGAGATTATTCTGCCCATGAGGTGTAATAGTAAGTACTTCCTGAGTATTTTGTAGTGTGATAGTTTTAAGAGAAGTTATGTAAATGCAAGTGTTATTTACTAGTGTTTAGTGTCGAATGGAGTTATATGTTGAACAATATGCTCATTTATTACAGTGAATGCACCTCTACTTGGCGAATAGCATAAACTTGGGAAGTCTTGTGTATATGTCGATGTTCCTAACATAGTAAAGTGATGCTTAATTTTATAAATTAATAGCTATGTAATGAGTGTTGTTCCTGTTTATAGTATTGATCCTCTAAATATAGCAATATCCTTTAATGCAGTCGACATCCTGAAGTAAAGTGGGCAGAAAGGGAGGACAAGGTGTATCTTACTGTGCTGCTGCCAGATGCCAAAAATCCAAAGGTCAATGTTGACCCTGATGGAACATTTACTTTCTCTGCCGCTGCTGGTTCAGACAACAATCTCTATGAAGTCAAATTGAATCTACTCGATAAAGTTAATGTGGAGGTAAGGTGCCTGCCTGTGTCACATTTGATCTACTTGTAAATGTTGGAAGTCTTATTAAGAGTTCCTGTGTGTTTCACAGATGAATTTATTTTTTATGTTAAATGAATATTTCTTTTTTGACCTGAGGGTTCTGAAACATTTTCAACCACCATATGTTATTTTAAGTTGTAAACGTTGAGAATCTTTTCAGCACTTTTATTAAGAATTGGTGATATACCACAATGACTCAAGTTGGAGTCTGCCCTGGGACTTATGGTTTATTCTGTAGCAGATATAACTCTATCTTGGTGTGGTTGAGCTATGAGCAAATTGTGTTTTGTAGGAGAGCAAGATAAACATAGGTGTGAGGAACATATTCTGTGTGTTGGAGAAAGCGGAGAAGAAATGGTGGACAAAATTGTTGCATGGAGATGAGAAGACACCCCACTATCTGAAAGTAGATTGGGATAAATGGGTGGATGAAGATGATGATACTGGTAAATATTGTATTTTGTTTTGCAGCTTTGTCTCCAAAAATAATTGGCTCATCTGTATTCTTGACAATTCCAACAGGTGCACCATCTGATCTTGATTTGGATGGAATGGATTTCTCGGTAAGTCTCCAATGTTTCTTGATCTTAATGTGGGTTCCTTTTTACTGGATCAACTTATATTTCTCCAATGTGATTTGTTTTTCAGAAATTTGGTGACATGGGTGGCATGGGCGGTATGGGTGATATGTCCGGATTGGGTGGTATGGGTGGATTTGGAGATAGTGATGCAATGGGAGATGACTTTGAGGACTCTGATGATGATGAAGGTACTTTTTCGAATGAATTTTGTCTCTTTAGTTCGAGTCATTTGTTTACTTGATTGTGAATTTATTATATTAAGTCTGCTGAGGGCTACGAGTTTGTTTTGTTTTGGCTGTTGTACTTTTAGTTAATAAAACCATTTCTTTTGGCCTTGAGAAGGAAGTGTAATTATAAAATTTTATAATTAGTTTAATAAAGAAAATTTCAATTATCTTTTTTCAAGTTGCAAATTGGAGAAGAGTATTTTCTGGTTATATGCAAACCTCAATGAAGGTTATGCTAAAAATTTTAAGTGTAGTTGTTGTTCTGTAATATAAATAGTGGTTCTTGTAATCAAACTAACCATCCAGCTAGTTAATAATGAACCATCTGTGCCGTTTATAGTCTTGTTTCTCGTATCATTGTACACATGTTACTTATGATTTCATCAAATCTGTACACAATCAAACGTTGTTCACAACTTGCCTGTTCACCGGTTTGTAGAAATCAAGAAGCCAGAAGTGAAAGAAGCTGCTGACAAGGCAGAGGGAGAAGCTCCCAAGGACAAGGCAGAAACTGCACCGGCTTCATGAGTGATTTTATCTAACAACTCTTACAAAAGCTTATATGCTTTTTGCTGGGAGTTTCTGAGTTTGGTAGTTAGCTACGTGAGTCATGTTTCTCTGTGGAAGAGACGCGATCATTTTACCTTATCAATCCTTGTGCTGATGAAAACATTGTTATTTGTAGTCTCCCGTGCGGTGACTATTTTCGTTCTATTTGTTATGATGTATTTTTCAGTTGAAGTTGGCAAGTGTTATATTTGAAATAGTTGAATTAACAAGTTTATGCAGCCTCAGATTGTGCTCTGCTTCCCTTAACATCTTGTTTGAGTTGGGCGATGAGTTGCTGATGAGTTGAACATTAAGTGGAACATAAAACTGGTGGATGCTGTGCATTAAGAGTGGTCCTTTGATATATGCCAAGGAAAAATAATACATTTGTCTCACAATGATATTTTGATTAAATGCATGTGTGTCAAATAGAAGATAATCGATTAATCATCGGGCCCAAACCCATCCCCATCGTCATCCATGGATCCGTTCTGATTGTCTGCATCCGCATAGTACAGTGCTGGGCTGGGCCCATCAACATCTGCATCTGTATACAATGGTGATGGTCCAGGCCCATCGGATACACTGGGCCCATCCACATCTGCATCAGTGTACGATGGTGATGGGCTGGGGCTGGAGGTAGCGGATGCTGTGGGCCCATCCACGTTGGCATCTGTGTTCGGGGACACGGCGTTAGATGGAGCTGGCCCGAACCCATCGGCATCCGAGGGTCCCTCCTGATCGTCTGCATCCGTGTAGGATGGTGATGGGCCGGGCCCATTTACATCTGCATCTGTATTCGAGGGTGATGGGCTTGGTCCATCGGATACCCTAGGCCCATCCACGTCTGCATCAGTGTATGATGGTGATGGGCCAGGGCCAGCGGATGCTGCGGGCCCATCCACAATGTCATCCGCGTTTGGGGACAAGACATAAGATGGTGATGGGGCGGGCCCGGACCCAACGGATGGAGATGGGCTTGGAGCTGAGTCCGATGACGAGTCGGGGGAAGGGGATGGGGAGAGGTCGTGGGGCCGGGCGAGATGCAGAGAGAGAAGGAGAGAGAGGGAGAGTAGGAGCAGCCTTTGGTTGTTATCGGCTGCCATTTTCCGGTTTGGGGCTGCTCTTTTGTGTGTGGGAAGTCTTATGGAGGAATGTCTAAGGGTGCGTGGGATTTGGTTTGCTATGCGTAATTTATTCACAGATGAAAGTTTGAGAATGAAAAAAGGACGACCCCAAGTTTTTTATTTTTTTATTTTTTCCTTACATTTTTTTTGGTATTTTTTTGGCTGTTTTCACGGAATTGTGGGTGTGGACCGTGGTGAGGATTTTGTTGTCAAAGAGAGTCGTACGTTTATATTTTTAAATAAATAGTCATTTCTCTTAGGTAAACGGTCATAGACTCACGGCTTGAGGATAGGAGTTCACCCCCTCCTCTAATATCTGAGAACTTGATGGAGGACTAATGGAGATATTTACTTTTTGCTAATTTTTGTTATCTATACCTGACATTTACTAAAGACATTTTGTCAAAGCATGATTCGGGTAATGCTCGAGAGCATATAAAAATTGGAGTCACATATTATGTATGTAGGAATCAATGCTAGTTTGGTTGGGCGGTATGTTTCATGAGATAGAATAAATAAAATATAATTTTTTTGAAGACAACAATAGCAACATAATGTAAAAGTTGAGATGTGGCTGATAAAACTTGAGGTGTTTTATGAATGTTGAAAATGATGAAAGAACGAAAGAACGCAATTCCAAGAATAGATGCTAATGGATTAAATGGGATTATTATTATTAATTAAGAAAAACATGGCCAATTATTTTAATCATCTTCTAAATATATTTCAATTCCTCACAACGTATGTTTATTTATGCTATTTGCCACGTGCGTGTGCACTCGGAAGATGCAGATACAAATGTCTACAAAATTTCTTTCATGGAAGCCTACAGATAAACACTTTGATTATTTATAAATCTGAAATGTTGCTCAACAACATGGTGTCGTGGTGTAGTTGGTTATCACGTCAGTCTAACACACTGAAGGTCTCCGGTTCGAGTCCGGGCGACGCCAACTTCTTCCATTAGACCTTTTTTTATAGTATTTGGTTTGGTTATCTTCACTTTATAACAAACAAAGTGTATGATCGCCCACCTTTCATTAGCCTTTTTTGTAATATTTGGCTTTGTTATCTTCAATTATTTTTAACAAACAAAGTGTAAATCATGCACATGACAGTACATTGTTGAATACATTTTTTATACAGTGTTTTGTGTTTTTTTTTTTGACAAATTAATATTTACAATCTCTTTCTGTTCTTAAATCTAAGAGTGAGATTTTATACTCGAAAATGGTGAACCGAATCGAACCAAACCGAAAATAACTGGCTTGATTATTTAAGAAATATTTTTTTTTTGGTCCATTTATTTTTTGAACAAACCAGTTCCAGTTCTGATTCTCAATTTCTTTCCCAACGTATACCGATGAATTAAGTCTATATGTAGAGTATGCATATTTTATATTTTTATAATACTAATTGTTTCCCGTTCTTGGCATTTATAATTCTATTCTCTATTTTTTATAATATTTTTAGTACGTAAGTTACAATTTATTTTATCAGTTCTTAAGTCAAAATCATTTATAATCGGTTATTTTTGTAATTCGATTACCCAATGAACCGGTTTAACCAAACCGTTATAACACGGTTCAGTTCTTTTTCGGTTTCTGTGAAATTTATTGTGTTAACCGAGCAGATTATTTTGTTTCATTTCCGATTTCGGTTCCTGAAAAATATGCTAGGAACCCAACCGGTCCCAAGCCTATGTAAATCTGAAAATAGCAATACAGAGCTGGTCATGACAGAAGATGTAATTTTTATATATGAATCAAGAGAAAATTGTAAAATTAGTCCCACAGGATTGGACGAGTTGCAAATTTGGTCCCTTGTAAAAATGGTGCTATACATTTTTTTTTTTGTTGCAAATTTAGTCTCATCATCGTTAAGAGTTAACAGTGTTAGCTTTTGATTAAGTTTTGTCCCACATTGGATGTATACCAAAGATGTGTAGGATCTTATTAGTATAAATGGGTCTCTTGCCTTTGGGTTACAATTGCACCTTATTCTATTCTCTCTTCTCTTGGTAGAAAATTCTTAATTAAGGAAATCCTAATTTGTGGGTTATTTAACCCTAATTGTATTTTGTTGGTGAGTTTAGTAAATTTGGCGTTGCGGTTGGTGGTGCCCGGAGACGTAGGCTATTTTCGCCGAACTCCGTTATCAATTTTTGTGTCCTTTTTATTTCCCGTCTTTTATTTATTTGTGTTGGCTTATTTTCGTTTGGAGTAGTGCTTGCCATATTTGTTGGAGGGGTATTTTTGTCCGCTGCGTTTGGTGTTCTACCCCAACAAGTGGTATCAGAGACGAAGGTTCGCCCTAAGCTTATTCGAAGAGGCGAGCACTGCATTCGAGTTCGAGATGTCCAAGGAGGTCAAAGGCGCATCATCCTCTGCATTCATTCCGGCAAGGACGGTGATGCCGAACGTCAGGCTCCCGGTGGAGATCTTCGATGGGACCGGGCATTTCGGCATGTGGCAAGGCGAGGTGCTGGATTGCCTAATTCAGCAAGGCGTCGACATTGCAATTGAAGAAGAGAAGCCAACTGACGTTGAAGAGAAGGACTGGAAGAATATCAACCGCTTAGCATGTGGAACAAGTCGTGCGTGTTTGTCGAGAGAGCAGAAGTACGCGTTCAAGAATGAAAATTCTGCTCACACTTTGTGGAAGGCTTTGGAGGATAAATTTCTGAAGAAAAGCGGCCAGAATAAGCTCCTCATGAAGAAGCGATTGTTCTGATTCGAGTACCGGCATGACACATCGATGAATGACCACGTCACTGCATTCAATCAGTTGGTTGCAGATTTGTTGAATTTGGACGTCACATTCAGCGATGAAGATTTGGCTCTAATGTTGTTATCATCACTTCCGGATGACTTCGAGCACTTGGAGACTACACTGCTCCATGGAAAGGACGATGTAACTCTTGCAGTGGTCAGTTATGCTCTGTATAGCTACGAGTTGAGGAAGAAGAACAAACAAGAGACGAAGAATGCAGCAGCAGAAGATGAAGCGTTAGTTGCAGGAGGTCGGTCGAAGAGCCAAAAGAAGAATGGACGAGGAAGATCACGTTCCAAGACCAAGCTTGAAAAAGACGAGTGTGCTTTCTGCCATGAGAAGGGACACTGGAAGAAAGACTGTCCTAAGTTGAAGAAGAAGGGCAAATCTCCTCAAGATGCATATGTTGCTGAGGGTGGAAGTGAAGACTCAGAATTTTCACTTGTGGTTTCACCTTCATCATCTCATCCAGGCGAATGGATTTTAGATTCAGGATGCACCTACCATATGTCTCTTATAAGGGTGTGGTTCTTTGATTTTAAAGAGATCAATGGAGGGGTTGTCTATATGGGTAATGACAATGCCTGTAAGACAACTGGGATAAGTTCAATCCGTCTGAAGAATCATGATGGTTCCACCAGAGTATTGATGGATGTTCGGTATGTGCCGAGTTTGAAGAAAAATCTCATCTCATTAGGAGCCTTGGAATCCAAAGGCTTGGTAGTGATTTTGCGAGATGGAGTTATGAAGGCTACATCCGGCTCGCTCGTGGTGATGAAAGGCATCAGGAGGAATAATTTGTATTACTATGAAGGCGATACAGTTGTTGGGACAATAACAGTAGCAGATTCTACCAACAAGGAGTTTGAAGCAGTCAAGTTGTGGCATATGCGGTTGGGACATGCTGGTGAAGAATCCTTGCAGACATTGGCAAAACAAGGATTGTTAAAAGAGGTCAAAGAGTGCAAATTAGACTTTTGTGAGCATTGTGTTCGGGGAAAGCAGAAGAGAGTGAAGTTTGGAACGGCAATCCATAATACCGAAGGTGTCTTGGATTATGTTCATTCGGATGTTTGGGGATCTTCTAAGACCCCATCATTAGGCGGAAGATGCTATTTTGTCACTTTCATCGATGACTTTTCCAGACGTGTTTGTGTGTACACTATGAAGACGAAGGATGAAGTGCTTGGTGTCTTCATTACATGGAAGATGCAAATTGAGAATCAGACTGGAAGGAAGATCAAGGTCCTACGAACGGACAATGGTGGAGAATATACAAGTGATCCCTTTCAAGAAGTTTGCCGAAAAAATGGCATTGTTAGGCACTTCACCGTCAGTCGGACACCACAACAAAATGGGGTGGCGGAGCGCATGAATCGAACATTGGTGGAGAAAGTTCGATGTATGTTGTCTAATGCTGGTTTGGGCAAGGAGTACTGGGCTGAGGCTGTAACATACGCGCAACACCTCATAAATCGATTGCCGTCATCTGCAAAAAATGGTAAAACACCGTTGGAGGTATGGTCGGGGAAACCTGTTGCTGACTATGGATCATTACATGTCTTTGGGTGTCCTACGTTCTATCATGTGAAGAATTCAAAGTTAGATCCAAGAGCGAAAAAGGCTTTGTTCATAGGAATCACAATTGGCGTGAAAGGATATCGTCTTTTGTGTCTTGAGACGAACAAAACTGTGTTCAGCAGGGATGTTACATTTGATGAACAAGGTATGATAAAGACGACGCAAACCCAACAGGTGGAGTTGACACCGAAGCAGGTGGAGATAGATGCGATGACGAGACGACCAACTATGATCGATGAATCAATATCAAAGGATTCATCGGATGATGAAGTACAGACTCAAGAATCATTAGAGTTATCCATTGCATTGAGAAAGCCCAGACGAGAGATTCAACAACCTGCTCGATTAGCGGATATGGTGGCTTATGCACTTCCAATTGTTGATGATGACATACCTTTCACTTTTCAAGATGCAATTCGGAGTTTAGAAAATGAGAAGTGGAAAAGGGCTATGGAGGAAGAAATGTTGTCTCTCCAGAAGAATCAGACTTGGAAGGTGACGCAACTACCAAAAGGCAAGATGGCGATTGGATGCAAGTGGGTATTTGCAAAGAAAGATGGATTTCCTCATAAGAATGATGTGCGCTATAAGGCAAGATTGATGGCTAAAGGCTACGCTCAGAAGGAAGGAGTTGATTATAATGAAGTGTTTTCTCCAGTTGTTAAGCACTCTTCCATTAGAATTTTGTTGGCCTTAGCAGCACAGTTTGATTTAGAGCTAGCTCAACTTGACGTGAAGACGACGTTCTTACACGGAAATCTACATAACTCAGCCAGAAGGATTCAAAGTTCTTGGAAAAGAGAATTGGGTCTGTAAGTTGAACAAATCGAGTACGGACTGAAGCAATCTCCGAGACAATGGTACAAACGGTTTGATAAGTTTATGATTGGGCAGAAGTACACACGAAGCAAACATGATCATTGTGTGTATTTACGCAAGCTGCAAGATGGATTTTTCATATACTTACTCTTGTATGTGGATGACATGTTGGTTGCATCAAAGAGCCAAGTGAAGATTGATATTTTGAAGGCTCAGTTGAATCAAGAGTTTGAGATGAAAGACTTAGGGGAAGCTAAGAAAATTCTCGGGATGGAGATAAGTAGGGACAGAAGGAGAGGCAAGCTTTGTTTGACTCAGAAGCAATATCTGAATAAGGTACTACAGCGTTTCGGCATAAAAGATGAGACGAAGCCTGTAAGTACACCACTTGCCGCTCATATTAAGTTAAGTGCCCAATTATCGCCAAATTGTGATGAAGAACGAGAATACATGGATAGAGTCCCATATGCAAATGCAGTTGGTAGTTTGATGTATGCGATTGTGTGTACAAGGCCCGACATTTCACAAGCAGTTGGTGTTGTTAGCAGGTATATGCATGACCCTGGTAAAGGTCATTGGCAAGCTGTGAAATGGATATTACGGTACATCCATAGTACTGTAGACGTTGGATTGGTTTATGAGTAGGATGAATTTGGTCAGTGTGTAGTTGGATATTGTAATTCTGACTACGCGGGCGATTTGGATAAGCGAAGATCAACGACTGGATATTTGTTTACTTTTGCGAAAGCTCCAGTCAGTTGGAAGTCTACCTTACAGTCAACAGTTGCTTTGTCTACAACAGAGGCAGAGTATATGGCGGTTACTGAAGCTGTGAAGGAGGCTATTTGGCTTCAAAGTTGGCTTGAAGACTTGAAAGTTGGTCAAAAGCACGTCTTAGTGCATTGTGACAGTCAGAGCGCTATTCACTTAGCGAAAAATCAAGTATTTCATGCAAGAACGAAGCATATTGATGTTCGCTATCACTTTGTGCGGGAGATTCTAGAAGATGGAACCGTTGTGTTGAAGAAGATCAAGACGACGGAGAATCCTGCAGATATGATGACCAAGATAGTGACAGCAGTCAAGTTTGAACATTGTTTGGACTTGACTAACATTCTGCATGTTTGAGTTGGCGCCGTGAGGCGCATTTGGAGGCACCGCCGGCAGTTGATTTGGACTGAAGAGTCGAAGTGGGAGCAAAATTAGTCAAGGTGGAGAATTGTTAATTTTTTAATTAAGTTTTGTCCCACATTGGATGTATACCAAAGATGTGTAGGATCTTATTAGTATAAATAGGTCTCTTGCCTTTGGGTTACAATTGCACCTTATTCTATTTTCTCCTCTCTTGGTAGGAAATCCTTAATTAAGGAAATCCTAATTTGTGGGTTATTTAACCATAATTGTATTTTATTGGTGAATTTAGTAAATTTGGCATTGCGGTTGACGGTGCCCGGAGACGTAGACTATTTTCGCCGAACTCCGTTATCAATTTTTATGTCCTTTTTATTTCTCGTCTTTTATTTATTTGTGTTGGCTTATTTTCGTTTGGAGTAGTGTTTGCCATATTTGTTAGAGGGGTATTTTTGTCCGCTGCGTTTGGTGTTCTACCCCAACAAACAAAACACTAAAGACCGTTAGATGATTCATATAAAAGTAAAAAAAAAATGCAAAAATGGTCTGATAGAATATTATAAATTGCAATTTTGATCCCAAATTTAACAAAATTGGTTCTAAATAGTTTTTGTATTACATGAGTAATCTTGTTTGCTTTAAATATTATGAATCAATTTTAGAAAAGTTATTATCTTTTTATTATATATTGCGCACTATCTTCATTTTAAATTATTTATACATTTAAAAATTATAAACAACATGAATTTTTAAAATTATTAATTATGTTTTCTATGTTAGTGACAATGTTGTAAATATCTCGTACTTATAGCAAGTCGATTATTGAAATAGGATAAATAATAGAAAATTAATAACAAGGTGCCAATAAACTATTTGTATTTAAAAAAATATTTTGGAATAAATAATTTTATACATTAAACTACATATAATTTGATCTTAAGAAAATAGATAATAATATAACTAAGGTTATAAAAGTCGCTAAAATTTTGCTAGGCAGCGAGCTGGTGCCTATCACATAGATAGAGATTAGTCTAGACTTAGACGAAGTCGTAAAAATATTAATAACTTTATTTATATCTATTTTCATATATAATATACAATTACATTATATATAACATACTAATTAATATGATCAAATACAATGATTATGTAAAATATTATACATCTGGAGCTGTTATATCAATTTTAATATAATTGTTATTTTTAATTCTATAATTAATATATATTTTATTATAAAATTAAAACCTATGTTAGGCAAAAAATATTGTGCATGGGTGCCGTCTAGCATCTAGTCCAGGTGGGTATATGTTGCATTTATGTTAGTATATATTCAGTATATGTTGCAATGAAAAACATGTCTTTCATAAAAAAACTATGTCTTCTTGTTTTTTGTTTTACTTTTATACATAAAAGTATATATATAGTTTAAAATCACATTATAACAGGTAACTTATATTTACTATACAAGAAAATCTTCTAATATACTGAACATACACCCCCTATACACCCAACATATACTGAACAATTTACAAAAAGATCTTCTAATATACTGAATATATACTCCTTATACACACTGCCGTGAACATATACTTTACATATACTGTACATATACCCCAAAATAAATCAAACGAAAAAAATTCTCAAAAAAGCTGTCATGATTTTCTCCTTCTTCACGGCCTCGGGTGTTTTGACATCGCTCAGACTCTTCGTCTCCTTCTTCGCTAATTTCAATTTCAAACTTGAACTAATTAACATCTACAAATCAAGAACATAGATTTAGAAATAAAGAAAAACAACATAAACATGGAGATTAGAGCCTGGAGTTTATGCAATTCATACCTATATGCATCCGTTATAACCTTCTTCTGCTTCTTCAAATGCCTAGTAATTAGTACACAAGACAAAAAAAAAAAAAAAAAAAAATTACCAAAGTTGAATCTTAACATTATCGAACAAAACAACAACAATGGAGGAAAACGAAAACGAAATTACCAGACTTGAAGTTTTCCTAATCCCTCAATAGCTCTCTCATGGGACCCCCTTCGCATCACATTCAATTCAGGAAAAAAGATAAAAGGAAAACGAAAATAAACACTGCAAATCCATGGCGATGGTGTTAGGATGAAGGCGTTGCCGTCCCTAATCCTCGATCGATTCTGAGCCATGGTGAAGGAGAGAGAAGAAAAACTTAGGGATTTTAATGGTGGAGTCGTTTTGCCCTTGAGCACGGATGAAATTGTGCAAATTTATGAGATTGTTTTGTCTGAGCTCACAGTTAATTTGAAGGCTATCATCACCGGGGGAGGAGAACAGCAGCGGATCTGTAGAAGAAGACGAAGATGATGAGAGAGAGGGAGAGAGAAGAAGTAGAATAGATAGGGAGAGAGAGAAAGCGCGATAATAATACATCCCATTAAATCTGTTTTTACCATAATTATAAATAATTATCTGTTAATCAATAATTTAGTATGTTTATAAATAAAAATAATAGTTTTAGTTAATTTGTAAATAAATATATATGAGTTGTAAATATATGATAAAAATATTAATGTGTAATGGAGGATGTAATTTATAAAATAGTTTAATCAGGAACGAGGCTCATATCCTGAACTTGGGCCAGACAGCTTAATCATAAGTAGTCCATTAGCCATCGGATAAGCCTACAAAACAAGGATTATAGATATGGGCCCTAACAGACAAATAGAAACCCAAATTTAGAATTTACCCGAGCGATGAAGCCCAGCATGATAAAGATTTTTAGGCAACAGTGGAGCTCAAGGGCTGTTGTTGGTTGTGTTCTTTGCTTTCTTGTCCGCCGCTGCCAAACTCAAAGTCCTCCATTTTTGGCGATCACCTCTACCTCGAAGCTCGTGTATTATCTTTACAGAGAGGGCTTAGTGTATTTTGTACTCTTCACGCAGTAAAAAAAATGGCATCTCGACCAGAGCTCCAAGCGCCGCCGGAGATATTCTACAACGACGATGAAGCTCGTAAATATACATCATCTTCTCGAATTATAGATATTCAGGTATTTAACTCTGAACCCTAAAGACCAATTTCCTGCCTTTTCCCCTCCTCGCGTATATATGATTTGAATGTCTTCAAGTAAGTGTTCTTTTCCATGTTTAAACGTGTAAAGGCCAAACTTTCTGAGAGAGCGTTGGAGCTTTTGGCTTTGCCGGAGGATGGAATGCCCAGATTACTGCTTGATATTGGTAATTTTTTTGCTGCCCATTATCTTTGCCTCAATTTATTTATTTATTTTGTATTTTTTGTTTTGTTTTGGAATTTAGGTCCCGGGAAAATTACAATGCTTTGAGAAATAAATAGCATCTCAGTTTCTCTTACTTGTTCTGTTTGTCCATTAATATTTGCTTTTATTCATGTTTATGTCCTTGTTAGAATGATATTCATTTGCAGCATGATTTTCTTGTTCACTTTCATGCTGCGCTCGATGCAGCATTTTCGAGCATTGTTTTGGCGGTTTTAAACTGAGCAGCTAGGATTTTGTTTAGGTTGTTTGGACTTGAGATGATTATGATGTGGTATTGCAATTTTTATACCGATATCATTTTGCATCTAATTGTAAGCTATTTATTTTAATATGCTAACCTATTGAAGCCTGGTGTATATGAATAATGTTATTTAGTTACTGAATATCAAAACAAGTCATCCCTTGGTTGATGTGCAGTATTCAGATGCATACGTTTTACAATTATACTTTGCTGTGTTGTCCCATCACCTAAGCGAATTTTATGTCCATCCACGTGTTCTCGATATCTCTGTCAAACTTTGTTGGTAACTTTGTCTTTTGGTTTTTATTGAATCAGGTTGTGGATCAGGACTTAGTGGGGAGACACTAACTGAAAATGGGCACCACTGGATTGGTTTGGATATATCCCCATCAATGCTAGGTATGAAGAAATTAATCTCTTGTATATAGTTTCAATTGAATTTCTTCATTTTATTTTTTAAGTATATAAACTAATATTAACTGCTCCAGATATTGCATTGGAGCGTGAAGCTGAGGGTGACCTTATACTTGGTGACATGGGTCAGGTACTCACTATGTAGAGACCATTGCCACATATTTTGCTTCAATGCCTTAAGTAGGGATTTTGGAATTCATATGAGATATAACCTTGTTTTTTTTTCTTTTTTCCTGTCGAGCCATCTTACATCTGTTACCCCAAAGTATGTGGTGTCGAAAGCTGTTGAAATCCAAATATGTAGAAAAACATATATGGGGAATGTTTTTGCGGTAAAAAAGTTAATTTCTTTTTGAATATTTCCAAAAATTAAATTAAGATGACAGGGATTCTGATTGGCTATTTGTGAGTAAAAAGTGTATCTAAAATATCTAGAAACATGGGAGACCACTCTCTCTCAAACTCCATATTTGATCCTGCGTGAGCTTATGGCCAAGTACATGATCTTGATGGTACGAGCTGAAGATTAAGTTTAGGTTGGGCACAAACAAAATCACAGTCTACTATCCAATGAAAATAAAGAAAATTTGTGGCTTTAGGGGTGTTTATTTGCGTATTGATTATTCTACTGGTTATATAATTGATATTTATTTGGCTGCATATGACTGTCATTTTGTCACTTGGGTAGAATTTAGCAATAACATGTGCTTAATGAAATTCTGTAGGGCTTAGGGCTTCGTCCTGGAGTTCTTGATGGAGCAATAAGTATTTCAGCTGTTCAGGTTCAACTTCTAACTCCTTGTCAAAAGTTATGCTGCTTAGATCCTCATTTTTATGCATTTTATTATTTTATAAGCCATTTTTTAGCCAGTCAAGTTTGTCAGATACGGTTTCCTATTGGCCCTGTTCAAAACATTATAAGTTTGACCTTTATTATTATAGTTCTGCATTTTTCTCTACACAATATGTTCACATTTTATAATCTGCGTATGGCATTAAGGAAAATCCTTATCAGTTTTGGCAAATCATATTATATAATGTTGAGTGCTAATTTTCTTTGCATGTTGTCAAACTAGTGGTTGTGCAATGCGGACAAGTCATCCCATGAGCCTCGTCTGAGATTGAAGTACGTAAACTTTCCAAATAATGTAAAGTAAAAAATTGAACTTTCCTCTGATGAAATAATTTTCATACCCCTTTTGGCCTATGTTCTGATTCAAGCATTATATTATTGTAGGGCCTTCTTTGGGTCATTGTACAGATGCTTGGCACGGGGAGCAAGGGCAGTGTTACAGGTATACCCTGAAAATTTAGCTCAACGTGAGCTTATACTTGGTTTTGCCATGCGAGCTGGGTTTTCAGGGGGCGTAGTTGTGGATTATCCTCATAGGTACGTCATATGATATCCCTTCACCCCTAAG